AAACTCATAACTTTCACTTGTCTTGAATCTTAATATGAAATAACTTTCTGGGTATAGAGACATCCAGTTTCCAAAAAGATATTTTGCAAAATACTGCACTTGGAGAAAACTCCTCTTATCTACATATCTTTTAAAAATTGATATCTGATTTAATTTTTCTTGAGAGTGACATACTACCCTGATGGGTTTTTCCCTTGTGTGAGTTAACAGGACGCTGGACAGAGACTCCCTTTAGCGCCTCCTGCATTATTCTAAATCCAAAAGTTAAACCTCCCATTAAACCTCTGCTGTCAATACATCGGTTGGCCGACCCCTTTAACTCCTCCCATTCTCAATTCCAAATAAAGACCTTTTTTTTTCCTGGATTCTTCCACAGGGTACTTAACCTCTTTGGGGCTGCCCTCCTATGCTGGCAATAAATGCCTCTTTCCTTTTTTTTTTTTTTTTTTTTTTTCCTGTTTTCTCTCTCTTTTGTCTTTCTCGAATGACAGAAACAAACAGATACAATTTTTACTTTGTTGGAAGCTTCTAAATTTAGTTAATTTCTTTTAGGTAGGATTCTTGTCTTTTCTATCCATTGATTATTGATGAAGTATAGGAAGATCATGAAGAGTACCTAGAAGACAAAAAAAAGATTGATGTGCCTTATTTCATCCCACATGCAATATGTATGAGGTTTATCTTTTACCTTACAATTAAAATTTAAGAGACATTGTTTCATGAGGACAAAAATTAACACATTTCTTTAAAATAAAAACTGAAGTCAAATTAGACATGATTAAAATTTAACAATAAAAGCCTGCTTTGTATTAGTTTATATAGCAAATAATTTCCATAAATAAAACAAGCCAGGCTAACAGGTCCAAAATTTGGAAAAACTATAAGGTGAAATTGTTTTTAATCAAAACAATTATTTTTAATGGTATGTTGAAGTAAACCATAATTTTCATATTTCTAACAGTTTTCTAACATATAAATTTAAGTCCTAAGTGTAGGAAAATTGTGATGATCACCATTTGATACATTTTGGGTTATTAATTAGAAATTGGGAAGTGGATTATTTCAATGATAGAATAATCTATTCTTTTTAATAATAGGTTATTAATAGTTATTAAAAAGATGTATTTTTAAAAGAATTAAAGCAGAAACTAATTAAGTTATAATTAAAATAGTTTGTTTTATAATAGATTCCATGTGACTTTTCCTGTATGATTTAAGAAATGAAATATATTGCCATAATGAAATTCCTTACATTACCATTATCTTAATTATTTGTCTTGGTTTTGCTTATACCTAAAAACTATAGGAATAAATTTGTTGCTCAATCCTGTTATCCAGGAATAAGTAATATTCATTCATGAATGTTTAAAATACTTGAAAATAAAGTCCAACCATCTTATCAAGTTAATTCTGTCCAATAAAGTTGCAATTTTACTTTGAAAAGTATTTATCAACATTTGTAATGAATGCAATATTGTTTGATCAACTACACATTAATAATAATTGCAATGAATATTAAATTTTTAACTTTTTAAACAGCAAATCATGGTTATAGAAACATCTCAATTTACATTTTGATTTATATACATATTTTAGTTCCAAAGAAGGACAAGAGAGTAATCAGCAAAAGTATTCCAAAAATAAAAATATAGTACATTAGGCAAAATTCCCGTAGAGGGAATAGGAATGGGGCTTAACTTTAAGGAGTAAAAAAGAAAGTTATACAATTTTCCAGCTGTTATAAAAGATACTGTTCTTACATTTTTAAAGGATAACAGTGCATGTCAGATTGCTCAGATAGATTTCATTGTCTATGTTAAAAATAATCAAAAAGATTTTTGTTTGTACACTTTACAAATTTTAAATTTAAATATAAACAAAAATCATATAATTATCAACCAAAAATCAAACACAAGTATGTAATTTTAAAATACAGCATTGGATTCATTGCACAAAAGAAAGCAAAGAGCATTGTTTTAGTCCAGCAAACATAAGGGACCATCTGTCTCCAAACAGGTAAGGAAAGTAACAATTATCTGGGTCTTGATTCCCAACCCTGCCTTCAGGGATGACATAGAGATTCAGGCCTCAGATCTGAATTATTTTGAGCAGTGATTAATAGTGTGAGCAGTGATTGATGGTGTGAAATAGCATTATAACCAGAGTTGGTTTGCTTGGCAGCAGAACCAAGCAAGAAGCATGAGCTGAGAGAGAACCACAGTTCCAAAAGGAGTAGAGTATGCCTTCTGGCACTTGTAGTACATTTTGGGTTTCACAATAATAGATCTGAAAGGATAGGGACTTCTGCTTTGTTTATTTCTTGTATCCTCAGAACTTGGAACAGATTTTTGTACATAATGGTTTCTCAATGTATTGAATAAATTGATAGAATCCTAACCCTTTCCAATCATTAGTTCATCCAAACAGCCCATTTTTGGGGAACTGAGTCAACTCACATGCCTTTTAAGGCTGCTCTTGTTTGACATTTCCTAGGTCCCTCTGGGTGAAATTTCCTCCCATTGGAATCACAGAATCTTGACTTTTATCTCCAGCTTTTTGGCCAACAGTGCCTCTGACTCAGAGGCAAACTCCAGAGCTGGGTCTGCCCATTGGAATTCTGATGCAGCCTGAAATCAAGCTTAGCAACTGCTCAGTTCTGAAAGGTGAAGAAGCATCTTCTTTGAAATTAGAAGAGAAGGCAGCATCTCCCTACCCATCATAATTTCTATAAGAAACATGTAGTTAAATATTTTAGATTTTAATGAAGGAAGTTCTGCGTATTTTATTTACTTCCTCTTTTTCATGATAATCTTTTAGAGCTTTTGTACAAGGCTATCAGAACAATACACTGTAATTGACTTTAGGAATAATAATTAGCCCTTCTCATGATAATTCAAATAGCAGAAGTAGAAATCCTACTATTAGAAGTTTTAAGGCTCCAGGATATTAAGTTCTAGTATTTGACTGGTATTGGGTAAAGGAAAGGGAAGAAAAAAATATAAAAATCTGCCACAGAAATTTTGCATCCAAATTACAAATTCAAGCATTAAACATCTGAATTATCTGTCCCATTGTTGAATTGCGTTTCCATGTTCAAGGCAATAGCTCTTCCTGTCTCTTAGTGAACAGTTATTTCTATTACCCTTACTGTAATCTAGTGACTTGCTACTAGTTGCTATTTGAGAGATATTTCTCCAGGAGACAGATAAATACTGATGAAATCTGCTTAATTGCTTTCTCAGAAAATTCAAGAGTTAAATGCCTCCTATGTTAAGACTGAAAAGCTTAACAGTTGCCTAACATGACCAAGAAAAAAGATTGGAAAGAAATGTAAAGCTTGCATTGTCATGACACAGAGAAATTGGATTGTTTGGCTGAATTTTGTGTTTACCTGCTGTTCCAAAATACTGCTTGCCCAAGCTCTAATCTTTCATTTGTTGGGTAGATATCTAGAAGCTTTCATTTCATAATAGAGACAAGTTTTTGTCCCCCGCCAATTTCATGAAAAATTTACCAAGCCACTTCATCTGCCTTTACTGAATTTCCCAGTCCTCATTCTCATTGTCTATAAAGCAGGCAGGCTTCTGAAACTGCCTCTTGTCGCTGATTATCTGCTTCTCAGGGCAGTCCCTTCAAATCTCCTTTTTCAAGCGAAATTAAAGCTTTGCATCTAGATGCAGATGAACTGGGCTCAGACCAACACAATGACACCAGTCATGAAAAAGGTCAGTCAAAACACTGAGCTAGCTTCACCAAACTGGAATTTGGGTGTGCTTAAAAATATAAGTAAATAAACGAGACACTTGGTTAAGCCTGCTGCTCACTTTCTTCTTGTCCCACAGACACAACACACACACACACACACACACACACACACACACACACACACACACAATCTGTACACACACCAAAAACACATTTTTGCTTTCACTACTACAGGTTAAGAGAAATGCTGTGTCAGTGTTTTGATACATCCAGAGACTGAATGTAAACAACATGGTACAACTCTAAAAACTGCCATCGTAAAATATTTTAAGAGGCAGAATAGAGTAAAATAAAATAAAAATGTCTCTTTATGTGATATCTCAGAGTAATTCAGGATTTATGGTACCTTAACCTTTAGAATCCAAAATATTAAGCTATGTTTCTTAGAGATAATAACTCGGTTGTCCCTCACTTATGTGTCTTAGATAAAAGCCTACTGCCACAGAATCCATGAATGCTCAAATACCCTTGCGGGCCTTTAGTAGTAAATCTTATGGAATAGCTTATGGCCAATGTAATGGCCCACAGTAGCCTGCGAATATCATGAATTCTAATAATACTTACATCAGTAGAAACATGAAGTAATGTCTCCATTGTAATTAAATGATGTATTTAGAGCAGTGGACTAAATGGTCCCCTAGTGTGTTGGTGATATATTCTAATAGTCTTCTCTTTACAGCCCCACACGGTAATATTCATGCTTTATTCTGGAGGGCTTTGCTTCTGACTGAACATTTGAATTGCAACATTAAGTGGTAAAGTGGATTACAGCGAGACTCCATGAATATGGATCCTGATCAAGAAACTAAGTGCTTAAAAAAATAAAATGTTACCATTTAAATAGAGTGATTACAAAAACATTTTTATATGGAGGAATGCCGGGAGTCTCTGCCCCACTTTTTTTTTCTATGTCCCAGAAGCAGAACATATTTGCCACAATTAAAAATTTAGTAGGGTGAAACGCCAGAACTTAAATCACTGTAATTTCTGCTGCGCTTATTGAATTTAATTTGGGCTGTTTGAGGAACAAATTAGTTTTGATAATAATTACTTTGTTCCATTTTAAAAACATGTTCGTTCTAAATATCACAGCTAACCACAGAGTGCATATATGTAGGAAGAAATTACTCTTTCTTGGAAAGCATACACAAAATTATCCTGCAGTTGATTAGTTAAAAATGTCACATTGTGAATTTCCATTCTTTATTTTTCCCTTGGATCAGTCACTAAAGCAGTAGCTAGAGGCAGTAAGAGCCTACGGCAAAGCTGGGGGTACTTCAGTCTATCCAGGCTAGTGGGTAAGAACACCTTGTGTTTTCTGTTACAATTAAATATCTCTATGACATTTTCTACTTATTGTGTAGTATATTTCTAAATGTCCTTACATTTTCTAAAAACAAGGAAAGATGTCTAACTGTTAATAAGGTATATGTGAATTTCTAATGATGAAGAGCTAAATATTTATAAATATAAACTGTCTTTTCTATTTAAGTTAACAGAGGGATGGGTGTGTGTGGGGGGGTATGTGTTAGAACTATGCTTTGTAACTTAAGGTATTATATCTTTAAATACATGGTGTACTTGTAAAAGTACTATGCATGTCACTGAAAGTACATTCTTCATTGCTTCTGTTGCTCAGTTTATTTACATTTAAAGATGATTTGGCCTATTTTATTCCCTAATTTTTAATTTGTTGAATATTAAAAAGTGGCACCCATTTACATTTCTAGAGGATTAAAAAATATGCCCTTGTTTTACCACAGGAAACATGATCAAGCAGGGATAATTGGTGGTTTACAGTAAGTTTACATCAACTTTCTTTTTTTTTCTTCTTTCTTCTTTCTTTCCTTCTTTCTTTCCTATCTTTTTTTTCTTTCCTTCTCCTTCCCCCTCTATGACTTTAAAAAGTACATTTTTTGTTGTACAGTCAATGATTTGCAAAATGCCACAGTGTTGCCCATTTAGTTTGTGTTAAACAACTTAATGCCCTAAAAGAACAGAAAATCACCTGCACAGGAACATAGAGATAGTGGTCCAAATACAGCACTCTAGCTAAATGAAAAGCTCTTTATTTGGCCAGTGTAGCCATGGCTTTGGTTGGCAAGCTAATTCTTTGAGTACCACCCTTGAAAATCATGCTAATGAGGCTCTTCACTTCATCAAGTAGGATTGTGGACCTTTCTGTCTGCATCATTAAGGTCCCAAATTGCCCCATTAGCAAGGCCTCAAATTGCCCCTCAGGGTCAATATTTAATGCAGGTGAGGTTAGGTTAACTACCTCAAAACCCTTCGGACAACAAACAATGCAGAGTACCTGTTACAGAGAAAATTCACTTGCTCCCTAAATTTCTTTTGTAAAATACCAATTTCCATATTGAACTTGTATTTTAAATTTATTTTGGATAAAAAATACAATTTATGTTACTGATTTTTTTTTAACAGTGAATTTTGAAATGGAAGGCAGAAATTTTTCCACCAAACACTCTTGGTTTGTCAGCTTCAATCTTTCCATCTGCAAAATGGGGATCATTTTATTTTTTATCAGGAACGTTTTGAGGATGATGATTCCTTTAAACAACAAATAAAGAACCCACAGAAAGTAGAAAGAGCAATACTAAAACTGAGTACATTCTAAGGAGATTTTTTTCTGTAAGACTTTGGCAATTCAGTAGCTAGCCATATTAATTATCGAGTTAAAAATTAATGAAAAGTTAGAACTACAAGTAGTAAGCTGAATGTGTGCAAACTTAAAATTCAGAATAGGACCCTGTGCTATTAACACTAAGACAATATGTAAAGCCAGAATGTTCCACATTTTAAGCTGTAAACATAAAATTCTTTTACTCATTAAAATTTGAAATGGGAAGGAAAGGCAAAATGATTCTTCCTGTATCTCTCCTATCCGCTGGGCTTCCTTAATACCCTATTGCTGCTAGTTATCTCTAGAGACCCTCAGTGTTTGGGGGAAATAGCAATTATCTCCCTGAGCATGCTCAGCAGAATCCACTGGTGATGTCAGGACAGGAAACCTTTCATACATGGCAACGGAAAGAGAGAGCCTTGGTTACAGTTTCCAGAAAGAATGTGAAACAGAAGCCTTGAGCTTCTTATTCCACATCTAGGTAGACTCTACCTTTATGCCTTGTGCGTTAAGGTTAATTTCCATGTATTCAGGGCCCCTGAAATTCTCATCACCTCTGTGGCTGGTACCTGCAAAGTTAGGTTTGCTACTCAATGTGGCCCCAATTAAGAAGCGCTTACTGGTGTCCTTCCAGCAATATCTTGTGAGTTTGAACAATTTTAGTGAAATAAATGTAACAAGGAAAAATGAATTCTCTTTAGCCTCTATTCAGCCAAAATTAGCCTCTGTGGATTCTGGCTCACAAAAGCACCACGGGCTTCTGGCTGTGCTCTGTAGCTGTGAAATAGAATCAAGATTCCATTAGGCATCCCAAGCTGCCTCCTTCTCCAGGGCAGACAATAAAAATGACAACAGGGGATTGTCCCTCAGCTAGTCTAACAAGGGGGTGGGTTCTTTTCTAAATGACTAGATGTCTGTTTAGCTGAGGAAAAAATTTAAAGGGGCCTTGGGCCAAATTTTCTCCAATTCCTTGGCTCACATGTTTGTTTCTAAGGTCATTTTGAAAGGAATCTTGATTTTTACCTCTTTTGACACAGAGGGAGCATACCCTATTTTAAAAATTTGTGCACGCTAATGTAAATGGCCTTACACTTTCCAGAAAATAGCATTAGCCTGTGAAAAATATCAGAATTTTTAGCAATTGTAAAAAAATTATTGGTCTTGTCATGTTTTTGCCTCTTCAGGTAAAAGTGTTCTCTCTAAACTAGACCGATTCTAAAAGGGAGATAGGATTTCTGCCTTCAAAATTTTGTCATGAGTAGAATTAACTCATGGGTTAGTTTTTACAAACAATATGAACATAATTCTTTAGAATTTTGACTTTGTAATAGCTTTATATGCTGCTTTTGCCTTCATGGACACCTTGGTTATCCTTTCTGCTGTAGGTCACATCTTCAGAAAGTCTACACTGGAGAGGCCTCACTACCTGGGGAGGATTTTTGCATCAGTTTCTTTTGCCATGAAACCCTAATCAGCTTCTCCATTTCTTTCTTAAAAGTGCAAAAGTCTAAGAATGTTTTCTTCCTCACTCGAGGATAAATATAACTTATTGAGAATTCATCAAATCTTTCTCACTGACCTGGTTAAGTAGAATTGTATATCTCCCTTGACAGATGCCCTAGAATAAAATGTAATACAGCTTATCAATGACTATCAGAAAGTTAAAGAGTTCATCAATCATTCATAGTAATTGTACTGTATTCTCATCGAGTTATAAATATGTATTTCATGTTCACTTCTTTGCTTCAATCAAAATTACTGGCAGGAAATAATATAATCCATTGGGTCAATTACAAATTGTAGTGAAAAGTAAATCACAATGTTTTCATTTTCAAATTGCTATTGCTTTGAGGTTGCAATATTCCATGTACAAAGTCTCTAATAAGCAATTATTTATGTGCTCACTTCCTGGAAGTTACTAAACCAAGGCATGTTTCAATAATAAATAAAAATTCTATTCAACAATTTCTTCTATAATATTATTCATTGGTATTATTATTTTACAAAGTTACACCAAATAATTTGTTGTATGTCTGTATTTTATCTTAAAAAAGTAATCCAAATATTCAAATATGAGTCGTCACTTACAATAATTGATTCAAAGAGAAAAGACAACTAAAGTTATTTTAATTTTAAACATTTATGCTGTGTTATAAGTCAGATGGAAAGTCTGAGTTCTAAAATTGGGGTTGTTGTGCCTTGCTTATTTTATGGCCTTGGGAAATATCCTGAAAAAATCTTTGAGATTCAATATTTTTATTTATAAAATTACTATCGAGTATTTTATCAATTATTTGTGAATTACTATATTTTTTAAATACCATAATTGTAAGTATAGTAAACTAATTAAATCACCAAGTTATTAACTTGTGAACTTTAGTAAATGAAGAAAAAGGTAGATTAATTATATTTTTTTCAAACAATTATTAAATGTAGCTCTTAAGTCCATTTAAATGGTCTGATTAGTGTTCTTTGTAATATGTGGGAGTATCTTTTTGACCTAAAACAAAGTTGAATATATCTACAGTGTATAAAGTCACTATAGTCTTGTATGTCTATAAAATGTACAGTATAAATTATATTATTTTTATGTAATATATATGCATTGCCTTATAAGGTTATGCTGAAGCTAAAATTGAAGTAGACATTACATATTTAAAGAGACATTTAAAAACATTTATAACTCTATGTGAATACAGACTATATTAACTGTTTCTTTAAATGTAATGATGCTTGTATATTTGTGTGAACCTGATAGAGAAAACGTTGAGATTTAGGATCATAATACTAAGACTCAGTTGAGATATGTGTATAAATACAATAATGATTTCAGATTCATTATTTACATTTATGGTGCTGGGGCTATTGCTTTATCTTATTCAGAACAAGTTTATTTAGGGTGAAATGATTTTCTGTTGCAATTCATAGTGATTTTTGATTTTGCTAAATTCCCAAAATTATCTTAAGTATTTCCATTACTTTTAAAAATTATAGTAGAAATACCTTGTCTTCAGATAGTGTTGGCCAGAACTGACAGTATACTGATCCTTGAAACAAGCAAAAAACTTGAAGTTAAAATTTCCTAGGGTAAAAATAAAGAGAGTATTAGAGTCAAGTTTACTATTTAAAAATAAAAATTATTGTAAGTGTTGCCATTGTAAACTAAAGTTAAAATGAAAATATATATGTTCAATTGTCACGTAGTCTGGGCTTCTGCTTTCACCAAATAGTAGATTTAGGAACACTGCAGATCACTGACAACTGCCAGGAAAGTGTATCTGGAACCAGCTCTTGTAATTGGAAACTCGGTACTTCCAAAAGCACTGTAGAAAGCTAGCACCCACTCCCACAGTAACACTTGCTTCAGATAGAGGAACCAAATAAAAATAGATGCAAAGAGCTGGATAAATTTGCAGTGCCTAGAAGGAGAACCTAACAAACTAATGGAAAAAAGCCAGAACAGAATAATCACACTTCAACACCTGTAACAGGCAAAATCTTAGAAACAGACCCTAGATAAGTGATTGCCTGGGGCCAGGGACAAGGGGAAGTGAGAGGGGAAGGGAATTGTAGAAGATAACTACTAGCAGTTATTGATATAGGAGAATGAAACTCCCAAACTACTGATGTCTGACATGAATGCATCTTCTTTAAAATTGAAGAATGAATTTTAGGAACAATGGACGTTAAGAGTGGGCTTTATTTATTGAGAGAAATGAAAGCTTCTGTCTGAGAGAGAGACAGACAGGGTCCCAAGTGGGTTGCTGAGGATCCTGCCTTTTCCAGGGATTTTTACAGAGCCAAACCAAGAGGTGAGGTGGGTCCATGGTGGGGAAAAATGGGAACTCACCAAGCAGGCGGGCAAGAGGTGAGACAAAATTATGGTCAGCCAATACAATTATGAATGTAATTGCTCAGGTATAATTGATTAAATTGGGATCTAATGGGGAGGCAAGTCATATAGCTAGCAGTCACAAACAAACAATTGAGGCTTTGCTGGTAAGGAGTTGGGTTAATGACTTCTGGCTTCCTAAAGGTGACCTGTACCCATTATAGACTATCAGTCCCTGATGTTTATATTAGGGTGTGGTTGCATTTGTTTTGCCTTTTGTCTTGAGATCTGATTTACAGCAGAGTAAGATATCTGGCCTTCTGCAC